GCACCCTTGTCGCATTTTGCGGGGAGCAGGAAAGATGGGTGGGACCGACTTCCCATCTTGAAAAGGTGGACAGACTCATTGTAGGGAAGAAGGTGAGAGTAAAGCTATCGGTGAAGCAGCCAAGATTTGGCTGGTCAGGTCATAGCCATACAAGTGTTGGAACAATTGCAGCGATTGATGCTGATGGAAAGTTGAGAATATACACTCCTGTTGGCTCCAAAACTTGGATGCTAGACCCATCGGAAGTGGAGCTCGTCAAGGAGCATGAACTTTGCATTGGGGACTGGGTTCGGGTTAGGCCTTTGGTTTCAATCCCGACTCACCACTGGGGCGAGGTAACTCACTCCAGCATCGGGGTAGTGCATCGAATGGAAAATGGGGACTTATGGGTGGCATTCTGCTTTATGGAAAGGCTATGGCTTTGTAAGGCTTGCGAGATGGAAAGGGTCAGGCCATTTAAAGCTGGTGACAAGGTGCGGATTCGAGAGGGACTTGTAACACCGAGGTGGGGTTGGGGAATGGAGACTCATGCCAGCAAAGGCCAGGTGGTTGGGGTTGATGCAAATGGAAAACTAAGGATTAAGTTTCAATGGAGGGAAGGGAGGCCATGGATTGGGGATCCTGCCGATATTGTTCTTGATGATAATTTTGGCATAAACAGCATTTCATGATTCATACAGGTCTTTAAGTTTCGTTCCTGAAGCTTGGAGGCTCTGGGTTTTCACCTCTCAGCTCCATTACAGAAGGCAGGGAGGTAAGTATGTTTCCACACTGCATTTTCGTAAAAATTATCGCTTGAAACTCTATTATCCAGACTGCAGTTGGAGATTTAATTACAGGATTATTTATTGTTAATAAGTAGGGAGAGATGATGGATAGAGACAGAGCATGAGAAGAACCTGGGCTTGCCTTACTGTTAATTAATATAGACAAAAGCAGCCAATGAAAACAACAGTAGCTTTAGGTCATGTAATCTCGTAGATGAATGATGTTGGTAATTTATATAAGCTGCTGAGGTATATATATATATATATATAGAGAGAGAGAGACAGAGATGAATATGATCATTTATTAAATCTTATTTCGTACAAATTGAACCTTCAGACTTGGTACTACTTGCACTCGGGTTTGAACTAATGTGTTTAATACAAGAATGTTTTTTTTCCTTATTGTTTTCAGGGAAAGTAATAGGGCAATATCTGATCATTATTTGTGAAAGATGAATTGCTTGGATTGAAATATGCATAGTTTCATGAAAAGACGTATAAATTGCATAACGTTTCCACCATTATTTATACAAAAAAAAAAACTTCATATTTGAAAAAATACGGACTCACACTCGATTGTTTAGGGTTTAGTATGATCGAACACTTAAAAGAATTATTTTTTAAATAAAGATTTTAAAAAAGATAATTTTTACACTGTACTTTACTAGAGAAAAAACACGTTGGGTTCAAAAGGTAGTTTAGCACGAGGAAAGATTAGTAGTCTCGTGACGCCCATAATTGAAAATTTATAAATTCAAAATTAATCTAAAATATTATCCCTTTAATACATATTTATTTGATACTGTGAATGTTTTCCAAAATTAGAGGAGTTTTCAAATAACAATATTCACTATGTTTTTTTAAAAGGATGTTCTCTGTTTAGAATAATAAAGAAATCATACTCTGCTCTAACGAAAACATATCACCTAATTATTTTCTAAAATACAGAAACAGATATATTAACATGTAAATGTGTAAATAATGATGCAATTAGAAAGATATAATATGATCAAACAAGATAAATGAAAATGCATGAATTGTTTAGGGAAAATACTATATATGAGAATACTATAAAATATTAAAGTTTATTAGTTTTTCAAAGAATGGTCCTTTAATTCAAATTATTAGAAAAAAAAATTACATTCCAACAAATTTGGATACTATCTTCCAATTACTTTAATAAATGAATATTAACTTGATTTTATTTAATTTCTGAATCTGCAACTACATAAATAGGTACGTAAACAATAGGGATTAATCCCCTAATTTGCAAGGCTATGAATCCGATTGGTCCAATCAGGATCTGCAAACCATTGGTTGGGCAGAATTCATAAATGGGTCCAAATAAAAGTATCTGTCCTAATAACTATTCTTGAACAAAACATGTAGGCCTTAATGGCCCAAGTATACTCTTTGAAGTTTTTAAAAAATAAAGGCACTATAGCCCAAATATGACCCAAAACTCAATTCGAGATAATCAACTTTGAATTGGACTATAAACCAAATGAATTACTATGAGCTCAATAACCCATTATCTAAGATCTGAAGTCCAATGGCATTACCAAGGGCTTCAACCTTTAAATTAAAAGCTTAAAATCGAGACCCTAAATTGAATGCACACGACTAATAACATTGAAGCTAAAATCTTGAAAATACATGACTCGAAAATGATAGTTATTTAAAATCATTGACCCAAAGGCTCTAAAGGGCCCAAACAAAAATCAGTGTCTATAGATCTCTCTTTCTGCTCGTCGTTATGAAACAATAATATAACAAAGACTAGAAAGACGATAAATTTCATTTGATCAAGATAGGTCTTAAATTTTTTTAGTATAAATCAGTAAAAAGATTTAGAATATTTGAAAGGTCACTTCAGCACATCTTGAAGAAATAGGACTAAGTTTATTGATCTACTCTACCACATCACATATGACTCAACTTGTTGATTCGCTCACACATTGAGGAGATACGAACAGAGGAGGTTGCCTGCTTCACACATCTCGAAGTGATTGATCCACTCCAACACATCATGAGAAGATAGGACTTTGAAGACAGTCGATCCACTCTATCTCATCTTGAGGAGATAAGACCTGCAAAAATTAACCGTCTCTTCATGATTACCATATTTCAATATCACATTTGAAGGTTTTAACATCATATAAGGTGGTCTCATGGTAAGTTATGCGGTACGAAAGCTTTAATATATGGCTGAAGAAATACGTTATCGAAAATGTTATTATTGTTTTAATATTTTTGGTAAAAAATTACCTAAAATATTTTTTTTTTTACTTAAATCATTAATGTTTTTTAACATTTCCGGTCAAGTGTCCAATATTAACATTTTCATTACAAAAAATAATGTTTTAGGTAACATTTTATCAGATACATTAACAAACACAATAAAGCGCTTAATAATAATATTTTCGATAGAAATAATAATGTATCTGGTAATTTTTTACTGAAAATATTAAAAAATAATAATAATATTTTCAATAACGTATTTCCTTAACTGTATATTAGACTGCCACATGTGAGACTTCCCTAGGTCTCATGGATGATCCAAAGACCTAAACATCATGTTCAAAGGACTAATTAAGCGAGAAATTTTATAAATCAATTTCCCACTTTAGAAATTTATCTTTTAAAAACATTTTGCCGAAGGATTTAATAGGCTCTAAAAATTAGTTTCTTATTTTGGAAATTCTTCTTTTGAAAATATCATGTTCGAATATTTAAAGATAACCCAAAAAACTTAACAAAAAAAAGTTAAACAAAATATATTTCCACTTATATATTAATATATCAAATATCCTTCCGGAATAGTTGGTTATTATATCAAATATCGATGGTTAAACAATATATATATATATTAAAACAATAACTTAATTTGCTTAAGCAAGGTCTTGAGTTCGAGTCATTGTGTATACAAAAATTCATAATTTACCAAAATCAGATGTACACCGTGGATTGGTTCAGATTAATTAAAACGAAACCTTAAACCGAAAGGGTAAAAAAAAACAAGAACTACCGGCCCAATTAAGAAAAGAGAAGAAAAATATATATTCCTTTCAGAAAGAGAAGAAAAGAGATATATGGAAAGGTATGGTAGACAAAGGACTACAGGCCCAATTAAGTAAAGGGACAGAATCTATCTATAAATAGCGAATATGGAATTGTTCAACTATTACTAGTAAATAGGAAGCGATTTTTTTAAAATATTAAATTCTTAATTTTAATTAAAATTTAATTTTTGAAAATTTGAAGTATAAAAAATTATAGATATTGAAGTAACTATATTGGACGAATACTTCCACTAGAAGACATTTTATTTTTTTATTCTTTGAATATGGATATTAAGCATCCACATTCAAACCAATAAATGATAGTTTTTTTATATAGAAAGTTAGGTTTTTATTAAATAAAATATAAGATATAACAAATGTAGCATAATTTTAATATAAAAACTTAAAGGGTGTGAAGAAAAATAAAATCAAAATCTTCTTCTTAGTAGACATTTTATCTTTAAAAGAAAACATAGCAACTATCAATAATATTTTTAACTCTGTGTGCCAAGACATAATATTGATATAGGCGTAGAGATTGAGATAAACAATTTGACATATTGCTCAGTGAACGGTTCTAAGTGCATCGATAAAATACCACAAAATAAGATCTATCTGTACGAGACTGTCGACCTTTCCTAACATGGAGGTGTATTATAATAAGTGCAACACGAAACGTCAGATTATTATAACGATAGAAAAAAATCGTGTCATAAAAGCAGACAAACAATCGTGCCTAAAGACAAACAAAAATAAACGCTTCAATAATATGCTAAAAAGAAAGAAATCAAAATGGGTCTAGAACCTATGCCCTAAAAAATATGAGAAAATACAAATAAACTATTTGATCAATCAGCCAAGTGTGATCGCTCATGTATGTATATATATATATATATGTTCAAAGATGAAAAGAGAATCATATGTCCAACCTAATCGAGACATCATTTAGGGAAAATAAAATTAATTACAGGAAACTGAATAGATAGGAAAATGCAAATTGAATTAACTCCATACGCACCATTGTAATTCATTTAATAACTTAAAAGTTGTCGCACACAACAATTTACTATGGTAATGCTGCTACATATTTTTTTCTTTGCATAAGCAGTAAACATTAGCTTATAAATGAGGTAGAAATTGCAATTTACCTACCCCCACTACCTTTATCTAATAAATTAATTAGTGTATTAAAAGTTAACCCTTGATTTCTAGGGGATGCTCGATGTCAATACACAAAACCTACTCATAAATATAATTAATTATATTTTTTTTCACTAATAATCATCATAATATTTCAATTTCTTCCAATCCTTAATGAAGAATCAACTCTTTTATTTGATCCTGCAAAGAGCCTAGCAATTTCCAATTGAGTGGTGGCAATGATCTCAGTTGTTTTGAGGTCCATTTCTCCTCTTTTAGCCTCAGCTTCAACTCTCATTTTCTCAATTTCTTTCATTGTTTCCATCCTCGCATGTTCTGATTTTAAAACTACTTGTGCTAGCCATTCAATGCTCCTAGCTATTTCCCACTCTTCTTCTTTCCTTCTCTTCTTTTTCTTCGTCGTCTCCGTTTTCTTCGTTCTCGGTCTTTCTTTGTCACTGTAAAGAGCTGGTGTGCTACTATCGGTCCCCATAGCTATCTTGTCTGATAAATGATCGGATAATCTTGTTCCCGCCCCATCCTCCTGTTAAAATCGAAAGAACCGTAACATCTTTAGCAAAAAAGTCTTGGAGAAAAACATGTAACTGCTAAAACTCGAATTCAATTTTGTTAAAATCCAGCATTTAAAAGAAAAGAATAAAACATTTAGACTAAACCTAAGTTCAATCATCGAAGTAAATACATATATTTGAAACAAAATTGTACTAGTGTTCATGATCTTTTTAATAGTTTTCGTTGATTACAATATATATAGAATGTCTATTGAAAGTCTATTACTAATGTCCTAATTACTTAGGATGGTGTCTTTAAAGAAAATAACTTTGTACAAGGTCTTCAATGGTCTTTTTTCTTGCTTTGTAAAAGATGCCATGGCTAAAAAATGGAGGAAATGGGTACTTAGCCTTTTTTTTTTGGACTGGAAACTACTCTTCTGAAAATAGGTTATGCCGTCATGGCATGAAAAATATCTTCTTCTATTAGGGAAAAACAATATTGTAGAAATAATCTTAAATTCATGTCATAGGACAAATTTAAAAGACTGTGTATATAATTCGTACTGACCTTGGGGATCCTATCAATACCATTGGAACCATTCGAATTTTGTGTATGTCCAGGAAGCTGAGGAGCCAAATGCGGTGGCGGTGCTGGAGCAGGTGGTTGATGTTGCTGTAGCACCACCATCATGGCCGGCTCCGGTAAACTCATAAGAGGAGGGTTAGAGGAAATTGGAGTAGTTGCTTGAGGAACTGCTGACGGTTGCAGCTGTTGCGGCGGAGGCGGAGGTGCAGTAGTTCCACGAAGTAAAAGGTCAAGCCGCGGATATAAAGGCCAAGACGATCTGTCAGCCGTGGCAGACTCCGATCGGTACCTTTTCTTCATGGACTCGATCTTGTTCTTGCACTGAGTTTGAGTCTTGGGCGACTTGATACAATTAGCTCGAGCCGAAACATAACGAGCCACATCTTCCCAATCTTGACCCTTAAGTTTGGCTCTATTTCTAAGCACCCATTTGTTTTCGTAAGCTTCAAGTAAGCTGGAAACAGCTCCTTCACTCCATTCATCACGTTTCAGCCTATCTCCGCCGCCAGCATTAGCGGTGTTTGCAGGGTGTTTTTTAGGGGAAGAGTCTTCTTTGGTGATGGGAATGTTACTATTTGAGAGGAGAGATGGGTTTTCTTGGTTAGTTTCTTTGTCCATCTCTCCCTGTACTAAAAAGAAGCTCTTTAGTCTGGTTTCGCTGTTAACATTCTGTATTCACACCCATCAAAGAAGTTTAAAAGTGAAAAAAAGGGCTTTAGTGGAGGGTTGAAAAGAAAGAAATGAGTGAAGTAGTAGCATTACAGTAAAAAAGGGCAAAAGGTAGGGTTTGGAGTGGTGGCCAACCAAAAGGAGACTTGAGAAAGAGAGCCACTAGCATCACCATTAGAGAGAAACAATAGGAAAGCAATGGCTAAGGGTAAAGGTTAGTGGCAACCAAGATAAGTGGCAGATGTTTTAATTTAGTATCTAATTTATTAATTGATTAATCTAGATTAAGTAATATAGAAATATAAACATAGGCGGATATAAGATTATATGTTAAAGGATGAATTTTTTAAATTTTAAAGGAAAACAAATTTATAACATTTTAGAATATGAAAATATGTTATTAATAAAAAATATAAATAAAATATTTAAAATATATAATAATTTAAAATTCAAACACAACTACCCTAATTTCTCTCTCTCTGCTTTAGTTTGTTTTATTTATAATATCAAAATTTATATCCGTGAATTTAATTATTTTTTTAATCTGTTTAAGAAATAATGTGTGACTTGTGTTCTATCATATGTGGGTGTATTTGATAATTTAAAAATGTAAAATAAACATGATAAAAAAATATATTAAAATTCTAAAAAAACAAAAAAAATATTACAAAGAAAATTTTTCACATGTAACGTGTGTGTATATATATATATGATAATATATAAAAATTTATATAAATGTAGAGACTAAGATAAAAAATAATATTGAAATGGTAAAATGTATTTGTTGGTGTGTTGGTTTAATTGCTGTGGTTGGATTATTTTGGCTGTTAGCGTTGATATGAAGCCAACCAAGAAACCCACTCCACTGGCCTACTACACAGATTAGAGAAAGGGGCGGTGATAGTGGAAGAGGTGGTGGGTCATTCACATGCCTGTCGCCCACTCCCTTCCAATATCTCTTCTCATCTCATACATAATATAATTATATAATCTAAATATAATTATTTCAATATTAAAAAAATATTATTATTACTTAAAAATTTATGTTCGAGCACTATATTTATAGAAAATATAAATATTTAATATCTAATAATTGATGTCTGTTTTGTATTTATTACATATTAATAAAAAAATATTTTTTTTTATTTTTTTTATCTCTTTCATATCTCTTCCACAAATAATTGATCAAAGTCTTTAGAATAAGGAATTTCTAAAAGATTTCTTTCGTTGACCATAGTCACAAAAATTTCATATTCTCATGCGAGTTATCTTTTCTTGATATGACTTTTGAGAGTATCACATAATAGGTAGAGCCATATTTATTGTGAGACGATCATATTTACTCAATTTGTTAAGTTAAGAATATTTATTATGATTATAAGAGTGTGATTGTTCACGAAATGTAAGATTATCAGTAAGAATAAAAGATTACTAGGGAATATTATTACTGTGAATGTTGTATTTTGTATTTGGTTGATTTAGTAGGAATATAAGATTATCATATTTGGTTAAAAGAATAAAAGATTATTTGGATGTATATTTTACTAAATTGTCCTTATTATATATTTGTTTTTTTAAAAGTTGAATTCTACTATAATTAATTTATATATTTTCTTTTAAAATTTTAAATTCATAAAATTTATATAATTTTTTTACAAAATTGAAAAGATAAATAGGTTTAATGAAAGGGTAAAATTTTATTTTAACCCATGAACTTCATATAAACTTATAATTATGGATTTTTTTGTAAATCTAAAATAGTTTAAGGATAAATTTGTAATTTAACCTTTACAAAATTTTTATTATTCAACGATAGAATAAGGATAATTTTGAGAAAAAATAAGGGTATTTTAGTCCAAAACGTCGGTAATCCAATAATACCTAAGGGAAGGGGTAATCACATTCCCGATAATATAAAAAAATCATTGTTGGTAATAAAAGATTATCGGGAATAAGATTATCGGCCAACCAAACGGGGGAATGAGGATTTCATTCCCCCAGTAATGTTGTATGTCGTGAACCAAACGACCTCTAAGTCTGACATTAATACTAAGGGCCTTTCTATAAAATTCCTATACAAGATGAAAAAGCGTATTATGAAGATTCTGCTTGAGCCATACGACATCCATCATCTAACGTTCATTATTCTTCTTAAAATCATCATCTACGATTCTCCACCTAAAACAAAAAAAAAAGATAAACCGTCTATATCCATTGTAATCCCAAATGTTACCGTAAACAATACCCATATGCTTTGATCACTGTATTTGGCCATGTCCCACCCTCTTAACCCCGTCTTTTGAGTGTTCCTTTTGAGCTTTGCCTTTTGCAATAACTTGAGTGGAATCATTTGCTATTAGAGTATGGCATAAGACTAGAGTTAGGGTATAAAGACATTTTTATATGGCAATAGATTTGTCGTGACATATTCTTGTATTGGGCACATTTGATTATGGTTGGTTAATTGGATCCCCAATTAATGTGTGCCACGCCAAGTTGGTCAATTATTAATAAGACTCTCCTTTTCAATTGATCCTTGTATTCTTATCTTCAAAATCTTTTAATTGTCACATTAGATTTGGTAATTTTAGATGCATTGCATAAAATAATACAAAACGGTATGTAAATGAACAATTTGAATATGATACGAAATTATGCACATATATCTACACAAATTATTTATGTCTAAATTTATATAGATATAAATATCTTAAAAATGAACATTAATACACAAATATGACATAAATACACAAACTTTACTCCTTTGAATGCTTAAAGTTTTAGATAAAAATATTAAAATGAAGAATTTGTTAAATAATTTGTAAAATTTGAAGATCTAGAAAGATTAAAATATTAAAACAATTTTATTATGAATATTTATTTATGTAAATGTTGATCTTTATCTATAAAATAAGATTTTGATATACTTTTGTCTATAAATATAAAGTCTGGAGAACGCATTGTACACAACTCATATTGAGATAATGATGTAGATTTATCTCCTTATCCTCATCGCTTATTCTTCTTATTTTTTCATTCCGCTTATTTTATAACAAATTTAAGAATATTTCTATTTTAAATCATAAATTATTATATTTTTTATATAAATAGGTTTTTATTCATTTAAATTTCTAAAAAAATAGTAATTATATTAAATAAAATATAGGTTCATATTAAAAAATTGTTTGAGCACAATTAAAAATTAAATGAGACATTAAAATATGAATTTGATTAAGAGTTTATTTGAATACAATTTAAAAATAAAATGGTTTTTAAATACTATAGAAATATCAAAATTAATTTTGAGTAAATGGATAAAATCAAAATTTATTTGTATTATTTGGGTAAATTACATCAACAATATCTAACTATAAAAAGTTATAAAATGATCATTAATATTTTTATCACCAATAATTAAAATAATTAACATAAAGATAGCATAATAAGTTTTTAAAATTATATATATGAGGTAAGATTTGTTGATATAGTGTAATATTTTTTAAGTTTTACGTATTTTTTTATCGTTTGATGAGTAAAAATGGATGAATGAGATTAATAGTAAGAAATGAAGAGAATTTTATGAGAAAGATAAAAACAAGATCATACTAAAATTTAAAAACTTTAATACCAACGGAAAAAGTGTCAAATTTAAAAGTTTTAATCACAATCACTCATTTAGATTATATTTTCGTTCTACACAATATAAATAGATATAAAATCATATGTTTTAGATCATTTAGAGTTAGTGGGATAGTCGTCCCCTAAATTTTTTAAATTATCATATATTTTAGATTTTTTCTTTATATTTTCTACCGATAATATGTATTCGTCCCTTAAAAGTTTATAAGTTCATTTTCTAACATAAAATCATATGTTAGTCCCTCGTTGTATACTTGTGGAACTATGCACGCTCAGTCATGCATATCTTCATATGCATTTCGTTTCGTTTTGTTTACTTATTCATTTTATTCACTCATATTCTCTTAGGTCATGAATTCTATACTCACTAGGAATACTTCCTTCTTGCCTCTAGAGTCCCCTTTTTCTTCTTTTAGGTAGAATTAGGATTAGATTTAGAATGTAAAAAAAATATATTATTTTTTCAAAATAATAAAAAAGCGTTTGTTCCTTTACGGGGTTTAATACACCCACCCTGAGACAACGATTCTCATACGTAAACATGTATATATACAAACCTGTTAAACACAGAATCAAGATATTGTTTCTTCATAAGATTGAAAAACACATGTAACCCAGCAAGAATGGATGTATTTTGTGTCTATGGGAGGGGCTGTACGACTGTACCCAACTCCGCATTTTTTTTTACATTCAATTCATAAATATAACTTGACTCTTACTTTCAAAATAAAATTATACTTTATTCTTAACCAATATTATGTAAAACAATCATTTGTCATTTGTCTTTGAAATTATTAATTAAGATGACAAAAGAAAATAAATTTGTCAGAAGTGGGATTTGAACCCACGCCCTCTTTCGAAGACCAGAACTTGAGTCTGGCGCCTTAGACCACTCGGCCATCCTGACAACTGTTAAAGCTCAGCTAGTATTATTATTGGTATTGTAAAAAATGGAGTTAATTCACTTTTTTTTTAATAATCTTCCTTGCACTGGTGGAAAGAAGATTCCCGGTCCATAATTTGTCGCCTTTAGGAGTGGACAAATTACCCATGGATGCTTGGGAGAATGGGGGCAAGGACGGATGCTTGGGAGAATGGGGGCAAGGACGGTGTTCTGTGATTTGGAGAGGAAATCTACGGGATGATGAATGTCTACTTTGCTGATCCAAGGAATCTCTTGTCTACCATGTTATTGATTTTGACTACTTGAAATTTGGACGGAGTTCCATTGTTGGTTGCATCTTATCGGGGTCGAAGATCTATATAATCGGCGGTGCAGGTGACCGGGTGATGATCCTATTGACGTCTACTTTTGCAATGCATCAACTCCTGACCTGAGCATCGTCATGGAAATTATGAATGACACTGGCAACAGGGCCCTAGTCTAAATAGTTGCAAGCCAAGGCCTTTGGTAGTCTGTCTTACGGGTAATATTTATGTATTTCCCTTAGGGCATTGATGAAAATGACCTTTATGAGGTCTTGAAATTTGATAGTTGCCACTAGGAAGTGCCTCCTCCTCCTCTTCCTTTTCTGGCGAGTAGGATGAGCA